CCAGCCCAGAAAGGATTCACTTGCCCATGAAATGCTTGGAAGTCCTGAAGCTCCCTTGATTGAAGTGTAAAGAAAAGAGCTCCACGGAGCATTTGAATAACTGAATGAATGATCCTTTGAAAGGTATTTAATGTAAAATCAGTTTGGGCTGTTGTAATCCATACCTTTTCCGCAGAAAATTCCTGATCCTGTGGAATTATAAGTTGCATTGAGATTGCTTTTAGAAAAGGTTGGACCCATGTTAAAGTTGCAATTTCTCCATGTATTATAACTGCATTAGCTTTGCTCTTTAAGAAAGTGGGCACAATTCTTCTTCTGAAATTGAGAAGTTCATTTATGCCTTGGTAAAAATAATTTTTTTAATCCTTTCTGTGAAGGCAGAGCAGGTCTTGTTTTGAAAAAGCAGAGGCTCCATAGTGTGCAGGAAATGATCACCATCATCTTCTGAAGTCATGAGCCCCACCCAGGTTCACTGGAAATGCAGAAGTAACTGGACCAGTCCTTGCTACTGCAGGTCTTCTCTGGGGCCATGTGGTAAAAGGAAGCAAAATTGGTTTGGTCATTCACTGCTGGTTCAAATGAGCCATAAGAGAGCTAAAAAAAAGGGAGGGGGGAGAAAAAAGGGGCAGATATTTTCAGAAAGGAAACATTCATGATGGTGGATTCTCCCCTCTTTGCATTTTCATTTATTTGAATTTCAATCCTATTCACACTTACCTGCTCATCCACTTTGCAGAAAACAATAACAATGGTTTCTGAGATGTGTAGAATTGCATGGATATTTATTGGCTTATACAAACCCTACTTTTTTCATCCAGAAGGTCCTCCAGAGTGGCATATAAAGGGTGACGTGCAATTAACCACTTTGAAGAAATACAGAGTTTGCATCATGTTTATGTCATCTCTAATTTCAGATGTCCATTTTAGAAGTCCCTCTCAAACAGAACTGGGGAAGTGGGCAGAGCAGTGACAAGCTAATAATTCAATGGATAACACATTTCTAAGACAGGAGCGTATTTCAGCATAATCACAAATAATATGGGGTGGATTCTGGATCTACTTTCCATGAGACAAAGGACTGGAGGAGCAGCTGTGGAAAGGGATAGAGAAGTCCACTTTCATCTACACATTTAACCCAGTGATAATCAGGATCCAACCCTATTAATTCAAAAGTAACACTGTCTTTGGAAAATGTTTCTTCACATACACATATTGTGGTACCCATGAAATGCTCCGTTGTTGGCAGATTTCATGCCATTGATTGCTTGATTACTTGATTTGATTTCCATACCTCCCAAAGTGACCCATCCCTTTCAAATTTCCTCTACTCCACTCCATAGAACTCTTTTCTTACAAATCATCAAAATATACTGGAAAATGGGGAAATTATACTGGGGATCCTACCTGTGGAATCTTGTAAAGTCCAGTGATGTCTTCCATGGAAGAAGTTGTATCAGAGCTAAATCCTCCAAAGACTCCTATCAATTTTTTGTGGACATCACATTTGTAGTTGGGGAGAAATGGATATGAGTTGAAAAACAAGTCCAAAGTGGTGCGGTAGGCCATCTGTGAATCAGTGTAGCTGTCATAGATGTGGAAGCCAAGAGTGGGGGGGGGGGAGGTGTTATTTATTGTATTATTTATTGTATAATTTTAGTATTTATGTGTTGTGAGCTGCCCTGAGGCTTTGTTGCAATGGGGCACCATAGAAATGCTTTAAATAAATAAATAAATAAGATGTTGGGATTCTCATTGAGCTCATTAATGGCAAACACCAAGGTCAGGGCATGCTGGTAGAACTTTGTCAGCAACCTGCAAGTTACATGGCCTCTTTCATGAGAGAGTTAAACAATGAACAAACTCATTCTAGATCTGAAAGATGAAACTTCATGATTTTAAATAGAGGACATAAGCAATAATGTTCTTTAAAAACCAAGGTCTTTTGGGGGAAAAGGAAAATGTGTCTGTGGGATTGTGACTTTGGTTGGTATATCATTCTTCAGCTCAGATCAAAATGTTAAAATCTTAGAATGCATCATTTTTTATTTTACTTTAGTCTGGTCCACAAATGAGCCAGAGCAAAGAGCAGAATACATTGAGCATTTTCTTTAATTTCATCATATGCCCCTTCACTATTTCTATCCATTTTGTTTTTTACATATATTGGGTTTCTCTCACCTCTCTGTCCTCCCACCCTGCACCTTTATCTAGATATACTTTTGTAGCATCGCTACAACAAAATTGCTTTTTATGGGGAAGGGAGAATTACTTACAATGGGAAGTTAATCACTTCCTGAGAAGGGTGCCTTTTGAACAAAATTGTGGGGAAAGCATATTGAATAAAAGATGTCATCCCTCCAATGAGGCAGTCACCAGTTTCATACCACTCCTGTGGAACAGATGCTGGCTTCTTTCCAGTGGACTTAAACGTGTGCAATTTCCACATCACATTTGGGAGAAGCATCGGCCTCAGAAGCCACACTATCCTGATGGCAATCATTGCTCTTGTACATTGGGATTGCTGAGTGCATCTCTCCACCCTCATTTTCATTCTTATAGTCAAAGTGACTTGAACAGGATGGCTGGTGGCTGACTCTGCCAATGTATCTTATTAAAGCTGTATGCATCCTTTCTGTCTTATACTTGTCAATCCATGTTAGCTTAACCTATTAACCTATCAGGCAAAGCATGCCTTGAAGGCCAACTGAAAGACTATTTCAAGCTTGGCCTGTCCAAGGAAGAAATTTGTCAAAATTATGGCATTCATCAGCCAGTTCTTCTTCTAAAATGTAAGTGTCAGGGGAACACTGGGAGACTTAATACATATTTCAGACTTGCTTGATATTCATCTGCTCCAAAGTCTGGAAAGCCAGTGGAGCGGATGCATCATTATGGTGATTCTGGTAATTATGGAGGAGATAACTACTCATGCAGTGTTTCGGACTTCGTAATGCATCAAGCAGAAGAAGGAAAGCTAAAACAATTATCTTCTTCTTGCCTACCCTGCAGTTTTCTAGTTTTCTGTAATGGTGGGGAAAGAAAGAGCAGGTAGGACCAGAGCTAGAATAATAATCAAAGATCATGTAATTCAGTCCATGTGACACCAATGCAGCAACATCTGCTGTATTTTGAAGTTGTGGAGAGTTCACAAAAGTAGGTACATTCAGGATGACTCATGGTGTCTCTTAGAATGGAATCAATGAGAAAGGGAGAATGGAATAGGAACACCAGTCCTACTGTTGACCTCTTAGTCGTTTGGGGATGAAAGTTCCCATAGCCTCTCCTCCACAACTTCCAACTGCCTTGTTTATGCAGATGAACAAAGCAGTTCTAGCAGCTTCATATCCTCCAGCAGCAAATAGTTTGTCAAGCTAATTTGCTAATGGGTGCTAAGTTGCCATTCAAGACAAAGTGACCCAAAACAGCAAGGCATTTCAATAGGGAAGAACATATTTCCCTTCAGCTAGCATGGGAGTTGCAGCTGTTCAGAGAAAGCAGGGAACTCTGAGGATGGTGGAAGATGACATCAGCATCTGTATCAGGTGTCTGGGGAGAGAGAATCATCAAAAATGTTTCCATGTTTCTTCTTCCCATTTCATAAATACACTAGTTAAAAAATGGGTGTCAGCAAGTAGAATTGGTTCAGGTAAAGAGTTAGACAAACCCAAGGGAAGTGAAGGAAAGGGAAGGGAAGGGGTCATAAAACTCATTGCTTCCAGGTTCAATTAGATATGGTATAGGTGACCAAAAGTAAAAGAAAGAAAACCCATGATTTCAATCAACCTAGATGAAATATTTATAGAAGAAAACTATTAATCAGGACATGGATTGACTGAATGTGAAAAAAAAAATCATGTAAGAAATGGGGTATAAAACTAACAGGGACTGGGATAAACACATTCAGCTAATTACTACACTTGTCCCTGTTCTGTCTAAGAGTGTTTAACTCTTACAACCAGTCCTCCAGTTCCAGCAACTCTGGCTCCTCCTTATCATTTTCCCTACTGTCTGTCTCTCTCTTGCCTACTTCTTTCTTTCTTTCTTCCTTCTGCTTAGGGCTTTATAAAAATTGTACAACCACTCCAGATTGACAGTTTCTCTTTTACTTTTGTGTTAAATTGGCATTCCTAAGGCCTGATCTTTGCTTGAACCTTCTGCAAATTCCGTCTTTTATCCCCTTTCTCTCATACATCTCACTAAACCTCTCAGTTGAGAATTCTTCAAACCATTTGGAATGGGAATGAGGGCTGTCACACTTTCTGAACATTTTAGACATACCATGCAGGTGAAGGCATGTATAAGGTCTCTTTGGCCTTTCTGGATGGAAATCAAATGCTTTGTGCTACCACACCTTACTGTTCTTGTTGGTTGTTCTATGAATTGGAAAACTGGGAGGGTTGTACTATCAAAATAGAAAGGAGTATGCTGTGCCAAAAGGTTCATGTAGCTTGTTTTTTCTTTATGATGATCAGAGATGTGCCAGACACCTTAAAGGACTGTTGAGATGAAAAAGTACCAGAATAAAGTAGTCATAGATCCATCACAGAGCTATGGAGGTGGTAAGATTAAAACAGATTGGGAAATTTGGGTGCTTGGATGATCATCCTTAGCATCATTTATCTAGCCTATAATGAAGCCACACACAGAATTAACTTTCAGAGTAATTGCCCTTTATTGCAGTGACTGGACAACAAGCAGTGGTTATATATTTTCAGATGTCCTATAGTGCTTCTTACATAAATATCAGCACTGACTTCCCTCGTGGACACATTCAAGAAGAACCATACTTGAAGAATGTTTAATCAGTCATAATTCAGCATTCTTTTTCTACACATACTTCTAATGCTTACATCTGGTTCAAGGGTGTTAAACTTCCAGATGAGATACTTCTACAAAATAGCCCAAGATGAGAGTTTGTTCATATCTTCTGATTAATGCTGGTGATGCTTCCTCAGAAACACAATGGACCAATTCCATCAAGAGAGCAAAAGGAACACAATCTAATTTTGCCTCCTTATTAAATGCTCTCTATTGTTCAACTCAGGTCTCAGCAAAATAATGTAGCATTTTGGTGAAAAGATGCAGCTCAACAACCCAGCGCTGGAAACCAAGATAGAGAAGACCTCCACAGCTACCATGTATTTTCCTCTTGTGCTTAAATAGGTTGGCACAAAGGACACCCACACACTGCAAAAGACCAGCATGCTGAAGGTGATGAACTTGGCTTCATTGAAACTGTCTGGTAACTTCCTTGCCAGAAAAGCCACAGTGAAGCTAAGAATGGCCAGAAAGCCCAAATATCCCAAAACGCAATAGAAAATGGTGGCTGAACCCTCATTGCATTTCACAGTTACTTCTCTAAACACTGAGTGCATGTCTAAATCTGGGAATGGGGGAGAAACAGACAACCAAAGAGCAGAAAGGACTACTTGAGCAAGAGAACAGGAAATGACAATGGAATGTGCCAATTGTTTCCCTGCCCATTTCTGAAAAATATTCCCTGGCTTGGAAGCCATGAAGGCCACAACAACCACAATAGTTTTGGCCAAAACAGAAGAAACAGCAATGGAGAAGATTATGCTGAATGCTATTTGTTGAAGGAGGCAGGTCACCTTACTGGGCTGCCCAAGGAACAGGAAGGAGCAAAGGAAGCAAAGAAGCAGAGACACGAGGAGGACATACGTAAGGCTCCGGTTGTTGGCTTTGACAATGGGGGTCTCCCGTTGCTTAACGAAAACTGCAAACACCAGAGCTGTGACCAGAGAAAAGAAAAGAGCCAAAGAAGCTAAAGTGATGCCCAAGGGTTCCTCAAAAGAAAGGAAGTTTTTAATTTTGAGAATGCAGTGATCTTTGCCCCTGTTTGGATATTGATCTTCTGGGCAGCTGATGCAATCATCCATGTCTGAAAGAGGAAAATATATTGATATTAAGGCCACTATTATTGTTCTCAGGTGTGAGAAGCTTCTTTCCAGGAATGAACGTTACTTAGTTCTTGCCATTCAAACTGGTAAAAGATCTTTTCTCAGTATGATGGGAGTCAGTCATACAGTGTTCACTTCTCTGGCAGAAACCATATCCTATCCTGAAGTGTTTAGGAAGCAATGTGAGTGTAGGCAGCCAGTGCAGTGGGGAGAGAAGGCACTTTCATTAGTTTGTCTCCTCCTGGAAGAAATTTGCACGTAACTATATACAAAAACCCATTTCTTACAGTTTGCCATAGATGGAGGAGAATAGATAGAGGCTGGTAGAGAAAGTATATCTCAGTCTATTTCAGCTGGATTGTCCCTCCCACAGGGTCAG